TCAAGCTAGTTATCATGGATCTTTCGAGTTGAGACCAAAAAAAAAAGCTAGAGGGAGAGTAAATATAGACTTGCATTTATCACATGTTCAGACACAACTTCAAAATAAACAATAATGTTGCTTTGTGTCTGCTGGATGTGTAACAAGGTGGCTAACTGTTTGCTAACACATTCACTCTCATGGCGTTGCTAGGCAGCTGTTTTCAGTGAAACAGCTAACTCACTGTATGCTGCCTGGCCAGCAGTGCTAACTGTCAAGCTAGCTACTAGCTGGTGAACATAGAGAATTACATTTAGTTGCAAAAGAGCTTTATTTAATCTGGGAGTTGGTGGAATCTGCTGAATGTTAGCAACTGTTTGCTAACAATTCAGCCACACCAAATTAAAAGGAATATGTGTTCACGTCTTGTTTGTGCTGGAACCAACTTGCCAAGAAACTGCAGGTTTAAATTAGAATTATATTTAATACAATTCAGTGTTCAGCACTGGTCCAGTCAGAAGCTTTTGAATGTGGTAAATGTGGTAAGTAGTATCTAACATGGAGTGCTTTGCTTCCTTCATCTTGCCATCACTGGAGTCTCAAAAACATTATACATAACAAATATACAATATATTGCAATCTGGAAATGAGTATCTGATGAAATGATCATTTCATTAGTTTCATTAGTAGATCCGTGCAGATGTAAATGGTGGTTATCAAAGCTAATGGATATTAGGACGCTCTGTAATGGAAGAGTGCGAGTGGGCGGACACGACTGAAAAAGACGTGGTAATTAGCAAAAGCAATTCACTAAGTTGAGCCGGATTCCATTTAAGTGTTCAGCCACATAAATGCCTCGCTTGACATTAGTGCGAATGAAGACAACGCAGGAAGTAATGCCCACACAAACTCCACAAACTCCTCTACTCACAAGGTGATGAGGAGAGGAGACGCTCCACAGCCAATGCTGTCTGACACCTTAGTACACATTATGACTGCTGGGAACATAGCAGGAGGAAATCATTGGCATTGTGAGAAAGTGTTTGATTCATTTATGTGCACATGGCCCAGTGTAGCTAAAAGTTGTAAGCAAAAGTGCAGTTACACTTTTAGGGCAAAGTTTTAGCCACATTTGAAGAGACTTTGGCATTCTGGGATGCCACTTTGTTTTAATTCACCGTCTCTAGTGTTTATGGCTGTTAAGAGTATGGGAAGAAGTGGCAGATTGTGGTTTGCCTTCCTTCATTTTGTTATGCTCAGTGTCCCGAGAATGGCACAGCCACCTCATTATACCCATAAACCCTTGCGTTTTGGGGTTTCCTCCCATGGTTGGTTCAGATTGGGTTCTCACTCCTAAAGGAACCACCACCACTTAATGTTCCCTTGGCGGAGGAGCGACACTCAGGCATCTCTGGGTGGTTAATTGGTGCCATGATGACTGTTTTCAGCTGTCCAGAGTTTGAGACATAGTGTGTCATTAACCATACCTGTTGCTCTTCTGATTCAAATAATTAAAGCTGCATTCATACAGGCATGTAATGATAGATGACACTTAATTGGAGGTGAGACTAATGTTTGAGCCGATCTTCGTTCAGCTTTCAGTCGCTTTGTTTTCCTGATTGATTTCCCCTTTGAAGCTCACACACTTTATACTAACAACCCCCTCCCAGCCTGCTGATGAAGACATACAGCATCTTTGACAGAGGGAGAAGCTTCAGGGCTCCTCTAATCATTATCGGGTCTTCTGTTGTCATTCAAAAGGAGAATTGGCCTGATCTGGATTCAGATCTCCACAGCTTTCTGAAGTCTCCAAGGCAGGGGCAGACATGAAAGGAATCAGGAGTAAGACATCGTCAGCTTTAATATGCTTTTTCGCTCGACTTGTCACAGAGAAAAAAAAAAAAGTGGGAACAAAAGCCTAAGGTAGCAATATTCCTCTTCCTGTGAGATGAAAGCTAAACACAGCAACAAGTAGATGTGTTCTGCTCCCACTTTCAGCCCTAATTAGAGACTAGAGACTGTAAGTTATGAGTATCATCATTTGTGGCAGCTCTGTGCATATTATCGGCCATGTTTTGTTTAAATTGCCAATATAGTACTTAATATAATCATATACATAACTGTGCAACTGTACTGTACAACTATACTTAAGTTAAAAGAACAGATCAGCATTTTCCTGAGAGTGAGATGAAAAGATTGATACGTGTCTGTGCGCTAAGAACAGATATGTAGTTCGGATTCGAGCTTCCTGCAGCTCTGTAGAAAAGACAGACAGCTCTTCTGCATGACGGCTAACTGTTAGCATATTGACAGCTTCTACCAGAAAGAGCTGCCAGCATCATAGCGCCAACTGGGCGCCAGATACTGTGCGTCCAGGTTTTGGCTCCTATTAGTACAATGCTGCCAAACCTTGAAACCAACACATTTATCAACTTCTTGGGAAGACATTAGCTTCTGTCCCTTGAAGACACTACATGAACAAAGGAATGTACTGTAAATGAGCTGTGAATGTAATCTGTAATCACAACCATTAATCATTAATCCCCTATTAGCCCAAGGAACTTTTCCACTATTTTATTTATAAGAGTTTGAGAAGATTAGTTTATTCCTGAGCTCTGTAGCCTACATACAAAGTTGGAGAATTTCATCAGTATATTTAGATGAATGCTAATGGAAGGGAATTAAAATTCTTAAATACAATTTTTTATGGATATGCAAATCACTGCGTAATATTATGTATTTATGTATTTTGACTTTGGGCAACTTTTTGAGCAGGCTGTTGCAACGTTTCATTGAAAAAAAGTTGACAACACTACTGTAGATAATTTTTATGCTAATAGCTATTAGCATAAGAATTATAATAGCATGAAACTCACCCTAAATCCACAAATTTGATTGATTTTGAACTCAATTTACATTTCTGTCTATTTCTGACTTCTTTTTTTTTTTTTTTACTTTGTGAAAAAAACAATTCAATTCAATAAAATTGGTTAATTGGAAGAACCAATATGTTACAGCACAGGGTCTTCATCTAGGTGATTCTGTGCTTCCACCATTGGTCGGCCGAATGCCATGTGACTGTGTTGCCAACTTTGTCACTAGATTTAGAGACTTTCTCTTTCAAAAAAACACCTAGCAACAAAGCTAGCAACATTTTGGATAACCCTTGGCTACTTAGAAATCCCCAACTTCATACATTGACCATAGGCGGTCCAGCCATATACTAAGTTTTGACTTAGTCTTGTTTCACTATGGACATTTAGGCTAATTGTTTCCACCTTCAACCAGTCATTAGGCTCACCATGCCCCAGCTCCAGCTTTCTTAAGGCACAGAAAACAGATTTATGTTTCATCTAACTCTCTGTATTTTCCAAAATATTCAACTTTTCCCACATCCCCTGCAGAAGTAATAAGTCTCTGTCTTGTTCGTCATGGTGAAAGGTTTGTGTATGCACAGAATCTTTGGACTACAACATCAAAAGTGCATCACAAAAAGCCATGTACTACACAGCAGTTAAAATCCGTCTGTTTAAATTAAGCATCAAAGGGAACACGACACACAGTGTACTGTAAATAACAGTATTTTCCATTTACAGCCCTCATTTTGCTCACCGGTCAGCAGGTCTAGATAAGGTTTGGGTAAACAAGCCTTTAACTGTACGGATTAAGATTTCACGGCTGCAATTTGCATAATCATTGTGTTACATAACTATAATGAGCTTATATCACATTCATTTAAGCTTATTTCATATTCGTTTTTGGAAGCAGGTCAAGTAAAATCAACTGTACGGGGGAAACATCTGTGGGATTTTGCAAATACCAAACCGAAGCCGAAATCCGAACACCATTCATTTAAATGTGCAAATGCATGGCCTTTTCATGTTGTGTATTCACTGTCAATTATCACATACATGGGAGAGTATGGATCTCATGTTGCTACGAAGGAATGTATGCTGCTGCAACAGCGAGGGGAGCTACACAATAATCTGGTATTCAGGCGCACAGAGAGGAAGCCTCGTTGTCCCTGAGCCTTCGCCTCTGTGTCTGTGTCACAATGATTTACAATAAAGCTCAGGAGAACTCGGTATGTGGGCTGCTGCATCAACATAATCTGAATTCGACTGTAGCAGCTGTAAAGAGCACACACATCCCTCAGCTAGAAAAAAAAGGAATCCTGAGACTGGCGTTCCTTCCCTTTATAATTATGTGTGTTGTATAAATTCATAACCATGGTGTTCCTCATGAAAATCTGCTCTGCATGTGAAGGTTTTAACATTTGTTCTACTATTACACACTATTGAGACCATGTTTGACAGTTGCAGGAAATATGGTCACAATCTCCCCTTTCCAGAGTTACAGCTTTGAGTAATGGCTAGAAGTGTTTTTGCAGAACATTACGATGTCACAGTGAAGCTGACCTTTGACCATTTGGACATAAAATGTTCATGATATATCGCATTCAACAAGAACGTGAAATCACAGTGACTTTGAATTTTGAACTTTGATTCACCAAAATCTAATCAGTTTATCCTTGAGTCCAAGTTGACATTTGTGCCAAATTTGAAGTTCCTTCAAGGCCTTCCTGAGATATTGGGTACACAGGAATTGGATGAATGGACGGAGAACCTGAAAATAATATGCCTCCAGCTCCGGATGTCGCTGGTGCGGAGGCATAAAAAGTAACATTCCTCATTTCCTTTATTTGTTTTAGGATTATTTTACTGCGAAACATAATTCATGATATTTAACTATACTTCTCTGCTTTATTGTTTTTCTAAAATTGGTAATTCCATCCTGTCTTGTCTTTTAAAGTTCAGATATGCTTCTGTGCCTCTTTGTTTAATCATGGTTTTTTAAATGATTTTGCTGCCCAGTGCTGCTGGATAAAAATCCAATAACTCAAAAGACATTCCAGAAATTAAATATGAGAGAAATGAGTCTGAACTATTTTTGATCATTTAAATTCAATCTATGAATAAGGAAAAGCTGAGAAAACGTTGTTACTGACAGAGAGAACTCACCCTCTCCTCCTCCTCCCTGAGGTCAGGCATGGTGCTGACACACAGCGTCACAGCAGTGATGGCTACAAATATCACTGACAGACACGCGAAGATCTTCCCTGGTAGGCCGGAGTGGGGGTTCTCCACCATGTCCCTCAGTCTCCGCATGCAGCCCCCCACACGAGTCTCTTCCAGTGCTGCCACTCCAGGAGTCTGCTGGCTCTCTTCGCAGGACTGCGGCGACGTGAGCTCGGCCTCCTCTTCGTCCAGCCTCTGCTGCTCCTTGTACTCCTCCTGCCTGAGACGCAGCTTCCTGAGGCAGCACCAGTCCAGGTTGTTCTCCTCCACCCCCCAGTAAAGCAGCTCCTCCTGGAAGGACATGGCGCACATCTCCCTCAGAAGCCGCAGTTTACCTGCCGCCAAGAAAGTGACAATGGTGCGGAAAGCCAACGGGCTTCGGTCAAAGAAATACTCGTTGCGGCTGCCGTCGTAGTCATCACACACGTCCATGATCTCGGCCTCATTGCTGCAGCTGCGCAGCTTTCCAAGCCTCGATAAGGGAAACTCCTCCAGCGTTGACCAGGGGATGCGGTACTTGATGCCCCCCACATTGATAATGGCTGCCCCGTCAGCCAGGCCGATCTCGTCTCCATCCTGTTGGCGGGGCTGAGGGTGGAGCAGGAGCTGGGCTCGCTTGTAGAACACACCCTTCTTGGAGGTGACCTCTTGTGGGTTCTCTACTCGGTTGAAGTGGAAGGTGGTGAACTGGTGCTCAGTGCTGCCTGCCAGGAAGGCCACCTCCTGGTACATCCCTGCCACTCTGCTGGGGGAACCTGTCCTGTGCAATGCAATGGGAGCGGGGCTTCACAGGGTATGTGAGGTGACTGGGAGCCAGTCACCCAGTCAGCAACACAGCACGTCTCTGCAGGACAGAAACGACAAGTCACTGGTTACATTTCTCAATGTCACTTTTTAGGATTGCAGTGCTCTCTATATCTCTGTTCTTTCAAACACTCCAGACAAGTCCCTCCATGAAAGGCTTCAGTCTGCCTCAAATGAAGTGCTTGTTGGATGGTTGAAAAGTGTCTGAAGCCTTCTCCCTCCACACCTTGCAGGCAGTAATGCCGTTCTCCGTACAACAACTTTATCACTTCTCATGTGTACAAACAACATGATACAATTCTGTCCAGACATGTGCACCTCTATCCCTGATTGTACGATCATGGTGCCAGCAGTCGCTACGTCACTAAGCTTCTGGAACCAAAGATTATGAGAAGATGTGCAGATTACGTTTCCTGTGCCGCTTTCTGATGTGACCAGGTCTTTAAAGCGCATCTTGAAGTGAGGCCATTCCTGCACCAGGTCGAGTACCTGCTTTGTACCGAGTACCGAGCTTCGCGGGTGTGGAGACTCTGTACAATACTAACTAGTTCGTTCATTTCAAGTAAAACCTGAGGTGCATTAACGGACAGATTTAACACCATAGAAACTCTCATTTAATCCTCACACAGGTGAAAAAAAAAAAAAAACATTTCTACTGTATTAATTAGATCCACAGAATCCCAAAGTTGGCTTTTAACTACACTTCCGAAAACAGAAATAAACAGTCTGTAAAAGAAGACCCACGAGTCAAAACAGCCTGTAATTTAGAGGGAACTGTCAAATACCACTTTTCTGCAGTCTAATTGCAATGCAAGCACAAAGAAAAAGCAACCCCAACATCAAGTTGTGGTCTGAACTCACACTGAGGAATTAATAATGCTGTTTTTCTATTTACAGCATCACCAGGCTGCGGAACGAGATGATTTAAAGCACTGTTTAACAAACTGTGGGAAATCACAAACTCAATAACAGACTTATCACAACACGCTGAGCCAAATATGAACTGAAGGAGAGTATCAACTGCTGTATAAAAACACATGTGATGTTAACATATGTTCAGTGTTTCACGTATGTGGTGATGGTTTATTCATTCTTCATTTCATATGAACAGCAGCTGCTGAATCAATGTATTATTCAGAACAGGCTTGTCTTGTCAACATGAAAAACAGCCTTTGTTCTGAAAAGGAAAAGACAACAACTGTAGGCATTTCTGCCTATATGGAAATGTTATTTCTAAGAGCAGAATCCAAAATAAAAGCCCTAACACAGCTATCTAACACAACCCACATTTATTATATTTCTGCACTAGCTATCGATGTGATAAAAGACTAAAGAGAGTTTGAAGTGTTCAGCGTGTTTTGTGAGCCGTTCTTTTCTTTGGCAGTCGTGAAAACCTTTCAGCCACAACAATTTGTGAGAAGAAAGAACTAATAGCACGAAATGGCAACGTAACAAGGAGGAAAAACTTCAGATGAAAATGATTTCCCCTTGGATGCACTTAATGTTAGTGTCGGGTGGGGGGGTGGGGGGGGGGGGGGACGGTAGAACAACTCGTATATTCATTTTATTTAAAACATGATTTTCAGATGGTACTCGTGCTTCTATAAAGGCTGACGAAACCTTTGTACGAACAAATCTTTCTGAATGTTTAAAAAGCTGCAATCAATAATAGCAAAAGAAAAATAAACATGTATTATTCCCAGTTTTGGAATTTTTCAATCCATCAAGACAGTGATGTCTCACTCTGCTGTTTTTTTTCTGAATGAGACCAGTCATCACACCCTGATCAAACAGTACACTGTGGCAGTCTGTGTGCATTGGCTCTTTTCACTTCTTCAAAAACAAGCATTTTAGATCCAGTTACACATTTCTGAAGCCGTGCTGTCTTAACAAACCTAGACATTTTCTTGTTTAATCAACACGGGCATCTGGATACACAATCCAGATAAGGATGACTGTACTGGGCCAGAGGCGGTGGGGCTGATGTAGGGAGACTGGGCACATCATCACAACAAATTAAGAGTGGGACCCCTCCAGCTATCCTCAGAGTTTCCTCTTCTATTGTGAGGCCAATCATTTTGAAACAGGCCGCTTTCTCTGGGGGAGGAGGGGGGTCAGAGAGCGGCACCTCCACAGCGACTCAGCAAAGTGCTTCTGACAGGAGCAGTTTATTGAGCATGACACTGCACCCAGGGGTGGCTTCAGGAGCACAGAGAGAATGAATTCTAGTCTAACAGGAAGAGCTAAAACCACAGAGGAGCAACATCTCGAATAAAGCTTGTTGAGTCGTGGAAATCCTACATTTATGATCATATAAATGCAGGATTGAGGCATTTGCAGCAGGATTGACGCATATGTTTGGTTTAGTAAGTTCAGCCCTGATTACTGTGGTATTTTGAAACTGAATGATCAACACCACACTCACGTCTGTGCATTAAGTATAAAGCTATAGCTGGTAAACAGTTTACAGCTTAGCCTAACACAAAGTCTGGAAGCAGGGGGAAACTAGGCAGCCTGGCTCTGTCCAAAATTAACAAAATACACCCATCAGCACCTCTAAAGCTCACGAACTTATATCTTGGTTATTTAATCCATACAAAAACCAGAAATGATAGGTTGCAGTTTTAAGGTTACCTCTTTGCCAGGTGGACTGTTTCTTGGCCGAACAGAAAGCTGTTAGTGAGCTTTAAAGGTGCTGGTGGGTGGATTTTTTATTTTTTTTTAACCTTTGGATGTAGCCTGGCTAGCTGCTTCCCCTGCCTCCAGCTTTTATATAAGCTAAGCTAAATGTCTCCTGGTTGTAGCTCACAAATGTTTACTGAAAACTCAACCATCCAGCACTTTGTATGGAGTTTGGACTTAAAGGGCCACTCCGGGTAAATGTGCAACGTCTGATAATTTGCTGTAAGTGATGTCACTTGAGTCAGTGTCGGTTGGGAATGAAGACAAAAAGAAGCAAGCTTAAGAGACCCTACTAGCACAACACTGGTCCAGTTGCATTGTGGGTAATGTATGTGCATGGGGAGCAATTTCGATTTTGATCCTTTTTTTTTTTGTCTGAGTCCAACAGCGTTACAGGAAATCATTCATCAGCTTTAAAGGCCCTGCACACCCACACAATCATACCGTCTAATTTGACCTCCACTCAGGTGGAAGTTGGGTGGAACAACCTACCACTAAGAATGATGAAGGTGTAAGTGGTCCAGCCTTGGCAGGTGCAACAGGAGAGTGAATGAGATGTCCTGCGAAAAGGCTAATCAGGTATAATAAGTGAAAACACTTTTTGAAAAGAAGTGGATTATACATAGATATGATTCTTCCTGTTAGAGGAATGTGTGAATGTACAATAGTTCAGGGGTTTGAGAAAAAAAATTACAGAACATCTTATCTAAAATTAGCCCATTTGAAATACCTGTGTGCACACAGTTACATACTCTGAAGGAACACAGACTGACAAAAGTGAAAATACCAATTAGTTAGTTGAAGGTTCAAACAAAGAGCTGCTTTTAGTCTGGCTAGCAGCATGGCTCTAAGAATGGTAATGTAATGGAAGGACTTAAAGAGATACCCGCTATTTCACAAGAAAAAAACAGTGCCATAAGTGTTTATTTATGTATTTGTAAAATCCAAATACAATAAAATACTTTGATGCACAAAAACACATTTTCTAATTTAATAAAGCCGGTCATCAGTGCAACAGAAAAAGGGTTTCATCTCAAGTACTTTTCATCCCTCTCATCCTTATTAGACAAACTGTGCGCAGCTTATGAGGTCATTTTCACCACAAGAAGCTTTTCCCATAGAGCTGTGACCATCAGTGCCTGTGTGCTTGTGTTTCACATGCTGAATACGCATCTGCAAGCAAATAGTCCATTAAAAACATTTCCTGGATTTCTTTTCTTTAATAAATACTTCCAGGGTGGGTTCAAGACACAGCTCTCTCTCTCTCTTTCTTCAGAAGTAGCACCTGAAAAAGATGCATTACTTTCCAATTCTGCATTATTCGTTTACCACCAGTTTCTCATGCAAATATCATTTACATGACTCTTTGCATAGCTGTGTAACCCATGCATCACTGATACATCCGCCTTCCCTCAGCCACTCAATCTTCATCTGTGTAAAAGGCCTGAAGCAGAGGTCTAGTTTGGGAAAGAGATCCTGAATGACACTGAAGTATCACCCGACCTGCCCTAAATCAGACTGATTGATCTCCTCGGAGCGACTTTTTGTCAGTGACAGTCTGTTCTCAAAAATATGAGGACAATTAAGTTTCATGCCTGAAGAAGCGTCGCAGCAATCAGTGGATTTCATAATCTAGAATGATGCAAAACGTCCCTCTTGAACTGCAATAACCATGGAAAGAGAACTTCTCACAACACAATCACTGACACAAGAGTCTGAGGGGCTGAGGTGTAGAGCAACTTCTAGATTATGAGTCATAGGACCTGATGATTTTGTTGACCCGCCAGGTTTTGACTCACTAAAGAAATGTTTTATTATTGATAATTTATTATTTACAATGTCCATAATAGAAAATGGCAAACATCATGGCCTGCTTTCTGCAGTATGAATTATAAATGAGCTAAATGGGTTGCTCCAAGTAGACAATACTTTCCATACCCCGAATCCCATTATTTACTTATTGAAAGGCATTAAAAGCTTTAAACTTAACTCATTCAGTTTGGAGTTATTTACTTTCACAGAATACATTGAAGACCAGCAGTGAAGCCAGGAATAGGTTTGACCAACCAAAATACATTTTGTAACAATACATATTAGAAATATATATAAGGAAATATAAACTTTATTGATTGACCTGACCTGTTTGTGGTGGTTTTGTCTTGTAATTGAGAATCATGAAAAGCTAATGAACTTTTATAAGCTGCTGTGGATGCTGATACATCATTATACTTTCAGTCAGCTCTTTA